CAGGCTCGGACCAGGACCAAAATACTTGAAATCAAACAGGACTCTTGATCGGGCTGTGGAGTGGAACCAGGATGGATTATAGTATGGGGCGGATCTAGGGCATGTTGAAACGTTCGTCAAATAAGTAGGCTTGGAACAGCGCAAAGTGGGATGTGAGTGAGATGCCAGGTGGGAAGTTGCCTTGCGGATGAGGAGGCGAAGAGTCATTTTTCCAAATTATGAAGTTAAGAACTGCCATGCAGTAGTGGCCAGGGCGAGTTATTTCGTGGAGTTCAGCTCAGAGTGCGGTGGTGGCAGTATCTTCGGGAGAGGCGGAGTCTTGCAGAGTGGTTAAAGGCGCCTCAATAGCGTTGGGGCTGCAAGCGGTCTTCAAGGATTGCGAGGTTGATTGTGGCATATCGCGGAAAGCGTTGCTAGTGCAGCGCTCGCTTTTGCAAGCAGGCGGGGATCCGGACTGAGAAAACACATCGAGGTGCGCGAATTCTGGCTACGAGAGAAGGTGCGGCGAGGGAACGTCAAGGTGGTCAGAGTGGGAACCCACGAACACTTCGCAGATGCTTGAACCGAGTAGGTGAGCAGAGACGGTACAGTGAAAGCCTTGTGTTAGGAAGCCCCTGAACTTGCACGCCCAGAGCATAATCGCCTTCTGCTTGCACCAGGTATGCTTGCGATTGCGTCGTTAAGCATAACTTGACCTGCTAGGGTGGAGTCTTGGCTCCAATACATTGTCCACGTGTTTAGATGTCATCCGTCTCCAAATTCAGTTTATCACCCGACCGGGCGTGATGTTATTGCGTTCCGAGCGGGAAGGCGAGATTGGCTTGAGGAGCAGCCGTACGTGGTTGTAGCACAGCTGCTTCGCACGGCGGTGTGGCCCAAGGTGTTTGGCAGTGCTGTATGGCTCAAGCTGTTTTATGGCTCAAGTTGATGTATGGCACAAGGTGCTTGGCTCTGCTGTATGGCTCAAGTTGCATTCGCCCCCAGGAGGCAACGCACCCCCCCCATATTTTCAGGAGGGGGGGACGAGGAGGAGGAGGAGGAGGACGGCGACGACGAGGACGACGAACACGAGGACGAGGACGAGGGCGAGGCCCGAAACTGGCGGAGGGAAGCGGGGGGAAGGGGAGGAGGAAAAGAAGCAGGAGGAAGAGGACGAATAGAAGGATCAGAAAGGTCAGGGCAGCATGATAGTGAGTTGTTCCATGGTATTTCCATACTTCCCATATTTCCGGTTGTCCGCACGGGCTCCAGAAACGAGGGCCGCTGGATATCCTGGAACTTTTGGAGCGCACCTTAGGCAAATCGTGCCATGGCATCTTCTGGCATCAGTCTCGTTTCAGATGAGGGGGGGAGGAGGGGGAGGAAGACGAGGACAAGGACGAGGAGGTGGAGCAAGGGGCGGAGGAGGAGGAGCAGCAGCAGGAGGAAGAGAAGGAGGCGGAGGAGGACAAGAGTACATCCAATGTGTACCAACAATGTTGCAGTACATCCTGCCGTCCGACGTCACTTCCTAGATTATGCAAGCATTCCTTGTCACTTGGCCTTCGTGGGCCCTTCCCACGACGGCCATGGGACCTTCGTGGGCCCTTCCTGGCCTCCTCTTGCGGATCTGTTGGAGCCATCTTGAGGCCTGAAAAACCATTGGAAGCAAAAGGGCGAGAAGGCAAGCATCGCTGAACTCTTTCAGGTGCTGGATGGAGTTTGACCTCTCGGAAGCGTGCCTCGGCGGCTCCGTGGCCACTTGGAACCGTCTATGGGGCGGGGGAGTGTCGGGGCCTCCTGGAGGCATGTTGGATGCTGGTTTGAGCCATTCTGAGATGCCTTGAGCTATCTCGGAGGCACCCCTGAGCGTTCTGGCCGCTCGGGCCCGCCTCCGTCCAGACCCGGGGGGGGGGGGAATGGGCTCGCTCCCACCCGCCCTCCCGCCACAGGGGCAGCACCCGAGCCTCCGCACGGGCAGGAGACGCCAGCGGCGGCCGTCGGGAGCCAGCTGCAAGCGCCCGCCCTGCGTGGGCGGCGCCCGAGCGGGGCGCCGCGCGTGCCAGGAGCGCCCCCATCGTCTCTGCCAGATGCAGTGGAGGACCATGCCTCGATCCTCCTCCTCGATTATCGATTATCGATCCTCCTCCTTGATCCTCGATCCTCCTCCTCCTCCTCCTCCTCCTCCTCCTCCTCCTCATCATCTTCCTCGAACAGTGGAGGACCATGCCGAGAAACACCCTGCTTGCCTCCAGGGTGCCCTGGGTTGATTGGGTTTCGACGGATTTGCCACGGGAGGCGTGACGTTCCCACACCAGAAGTCAGTGTTCTGACAGGGGTGGTGGTCTCTTTCACCACCCGCCAAACCACCCCAACCCAACCCGAAGGCCTCCATTGGCCCTCCATCTCCAGTGTGGGGGGGCGGGGAACACATGGAACCCGTACCCCCCCCCCCGCAGCCCGAAATTCGGGTCAAGTTCGGGTCTTCGGGTTAGGTTGGGGTGGTCCGGTAGGTAGTCACTCTTGACAGGGATGGGGGGCACCCTTGAGAAAAAATTAACCCGGAGTGATTGCTGGGCGCCCCCGAACGTGGTAGAAAACATGTTGCGAAGTGCATGTGGCATCGTTGTTCGACCGGTTTGTCGCCGGTCGGGTGGGGGAGGGGGGATATTAATCAGGAGCAGAGATAGCCCCTCCTCGAAGGGGAAGGAGGGGGTTTGGAAGAGGAAGGGCGCTAGACGCTAGAGCTCAGAGGGCTGCTCGCATTCGAGGATTTCGCCACCGAGAGCCCCCTTTACAGAAGGGCCCAGTTTCCGTCCGTGCGATCGATGAGGAGGAGGAGGAGGAGGAGGAGGAGGAGGAGGAGGAGGAGGAGGAGGAGGAGGAGGAGGAGGAGGAGGAGGAGGAGGAGGAGGAGGCGGAGGCGGAGGCCGTAGAGGAGGAGGCGGAGAGGAGGAGGAGGAGGAGGAGGAGGAGGAGGAGGAGGATCAGCAGGGAAAGAAACACACAGACACAATTAATCGTCGACTCCCCAAAAATATGGGGAAATATGGGAAGTGGGGGGGAAGACAAAAACCCAGAAAATATGGGAAAATACAGGGAATCCTGTTATTTGTGTATATTTATTTGTGTGTCCCGGGGCCCCTTCAGAGGAGTAGGAGGAGGAGGAGGAGGAGGAGGAGGAGGAGCAGCAGCAGCAGCAGCAGCAGCAGCAGCAGCAGCAGCAGAGGAGGAGCAGCAGCAGGAGGAGGAGCAGGAGGAGGGGCGAGCAGATCGAGAATAGGGAGCAGCGGGCGGGAGGGCCGAGGAGCAGCGCACCGGCGGGAGGAGACAACGGGGCCGGCGGGCGGCGTCGCAAGAGCCGCCCGACCACTGGGGGGCAAGTGTGGGAAGGTGGGCCGGGCATAGTCAAAAAATAGTCTGGGGGCGATTTTGTTGGGAGTATGTCTTGAATAGGTTTGAGCATTGCTTGTCCATGTGTCTTGTTCATCCTCTACAATCCCCCTGTAGGGGGACATGCCCGACCTCAGGCAGTACACATCACTGAACCAGGCCCCACTAAACCCAGTCCTGCCAACGCCCGAGAGGGGGATCGGGGGGCCCAGACGCCCCCCCCCCCCCCCGCCTCACTGAGGTTCTCGCCCACCGCCTCGGCGAGTGGCCCTGCCCGCAGCGAAGTCGCTGCCGCTGCCCGAGTGCCCACCTCCCACACCCCGTGCTCTCGGTTTTTTTTTGCCCTGATGGGTAGAGCGGACGCCGTGTCCCTGGGTCCCTCTCCTCGCTCGTCCTCTCCTGCCCTCGCACCTCTTCTCCAAGAACTCTTCCATCCCTCGACTCCATCCTCCCCTCCCTCCCAACTGCCTCTCCTCCGCCTCCTCCTGCCTCCCCTCCTCCTCCGCCTCCTCCGCCTCCTCCTCCTACTCCTCCTCCGCCTCCTCGTCCTCCTCGTCCTCCTCGTCCCGTCCTCCTCCTCCTCCTCCTCCTCCTCCTCCTCCGCCTCCTCCTCCTCCTCCTCCTCCTCCCCCGCCTCCTCCTCCTCGGGGAGAGCGACGGTGCCCTGGGGCTCTCTCGTCCGCTGAGGACCTCCGGGGGCCCCCCCGCGGGCCCCCTTGGGGCCTGTCTGAGGACGCCTTCGGGGCGGAGCGCGGGTCCTGCACCGGTGCTTCTCAGGGCGTGACGTTCTGCAGCCCAAGCGTGTGTGGAGGGGAGGGGGACGAGTTGGAGGGGGAGGGGGTCCTCCTCCTCCTCCTCCTCTCGCCTCCTCCTCCCCTCCTCCTCCTCCTCCACCTCCACCTCCACCTCCACCTCCACCTCCACTCCTCCTCCTCGTCTTCGTCGTCGTCGTCGTCCTCCTCCTCCTCCTCCTCCTCGTCTACCTCCTCCTCCTCCTCCTCCTCCTCCTCCTCCTCCTCCTGCTGACCTGGTGTGCTGCCCGGGTGGGCTCCGCCGACGGCGCGTGCCATCGGCCTCGGCCCTCGCTGAGCCAGCCGCCTGCGTCGTGTTGGTAAGGGCCTCGGTGGGCGAAAGCACGCGCTGGCGCCAGCTCTTTCTCTTCAGCGGCGGCTCGGCAGAGGCGCCTGCGCCGGCGAGGCAGCGAAAAACCGGGGCTGCCGCCGGGCGAGAGTGGCGCCGCCGCGCCGCGCGGGAGGGGACTGACAGGAAGACGGCCGAGAGCGACGGCCGAGAGCGTCGGCGCTCCCGCGCGCGCTCCCGAGGGCCCTCGACTCCGCAGGAGAGCGCCCGGGCCCAGGGCGCCCGCTTCCCTCCGGGCCCGCCCGCCGCTGGCGGCGCGCCAAGAGTGGAGGTGCGCCCCCGCGCGCGCGCGGCGCCTCGCGCGCGGCGCCTCGCGCGGCGCCTCGCGATGCGCGGCCGCGCGGGGCTGCTGCTGGCGCTGGCGCTGGCGGGGCCGGGGGCCGGGGCGGGGAAGAAGGCGAAGAAGGCGGGCCGCGGGCCTGCCGCCCCCGACCCCCCGGGGCACGCCGCCGACGCAGGCCCACGCCGCCTCGGGCCCGAGCGCCCGCGGCCCGCGGGCCCCGCGCGGAGCCCGCGCCCCGGGCCCACGACGTGGGCCATGCCATGCCACGGCGTGCCCCGGGGGTCGGGGCGGGGGAGGGTGTGCGAGTGCAGTGGAGGCCCCTGCCAAGAAGCACCCTGCAGTCGAGCCGCATAGGGAGGACAGGCATCCCTCCCAAGGGTGCCCTTGCATCCTGGCCTCCTGGGTCCATCCTTGGCCACTTTCGCTGGCCGCGCCCCGCTCGAAACGCTTCGAGATGGGCGTCCAAGGCCCTTGCATCCTTATCGCGCATCCTTACTATCTGGGTTGACTGTACTCGGCTCCAGGGTGCCCAGGGTTTCTTGGGCTTCGATGGTTTTGCTGTGGAGAGCGTGGCGCTCCCACACCAAAAATCCGTGGACGTCCTGGGGTTCCAGGGTCGGCTTTCCTGTGGAGGGTTTCTTGTGGACTGGCCTCCACTGTAGGGGATCGGCTGCAGAATTGCTTCGCGTGCGTCGGATCAACAGAACATAAACAGAGTGTTCCGTAGATCTAGCCCAGAGGGCTGGTGGGACTTGCTCCACGCCAGCGGCGCCGCTGCATCGCCGCTGCATCGCCGCTGCATCGCCGGTGCGTCGCCAGTGCGTCGCTGGCGCGTCGGCGGTGCGGCGCGGTGCGGCGGCCCCAACGTGCTCGGGGCCGACGTTTGGGGAGGCCTCCAGGCAAAGGGCTGGGTCGGCAAGGTGCTGACGCTGACTGGGGAGCTCGGCGACGAGGAGACGCCCAACTTCGCCCGCCTCACGGAGGCGCGGGCCGTCGTCGTCGTCGGCTTCGTGGTGGACTGCCTCGCGGAGGCGGAGCCCGGCATGGCCCCAGGCACGCTGAGACAGTGTGAGGACGCTGGCGGGCGTTTGGACCCCAGGGGAGGGGGACAGGGGGGGAGGGGGCAGCTGCTCACCCTCAGGTCCGACGTTGCGAATCACTCCCCACATCGCAGCTGCGCTGGTCGAGCCAGGTCGATCTCTGAGCGGGTCCCGGCGCCCGCAGGCAGGCGAAGACGCCCGCTGTGAGAAAAAATGCCGCGCCCTGATCTCAGCGGGGGCCGGCGGAGGATGGGACTTCAGCACCGCGAATCAACGTAACTGTTGCGCCCTCAAAATCCTGAATCTTTCCAAAACACCACTTCTGGTACGTTGACCATGGGAATCCAAGAAGAACGTGCGCGGCGCTAATGCGAGAGTCACATTTTGAAAAGGAACCGCCCTCAATCCGTGAAACTCTTTTGCGAATGTGCGCGGCGCTAGCTAACAACTGCGAGAGCCACACTTCGAAAACGACCCGTTGAAAACGACCCGCCCTCCATCTGTGAAACAGTTGCCAATGTTTAAGCTTCAGGGTCATAAACGGTGAGGAAGTCTCAGGCGAAACGCCCGGCCCGCCCTTTCGACCGGCCTCGGGGTGCGACGGGGAGAAGCCATTTATCAGGAAAGGGAAGGAATGGAGGAGGAGGAGGAGGAGGAGGAGGAGGAGGCGGAGGAGGAGGGGAAGAGGAGGGAGGAGGAGGAGGGGACGGAGGAGGAGGAGTGGATGCGGAGGGCAGGGGAGGAGGAGAGGAGAGGGGGAAGGAGGAGGAGAGGAGGAGGAGAGGTGAGGAGGAGGAGGGGAAGAGGGGGGGAGAGGAGGAGGAGGAGAGTAGAGAGGATGAGTAGGGATGAGGGGAGGGGAGTGGAGAGGGTAGGAGGAGGAGGACGGAGGATGAGGAGGGAGGAGGAGGAGGAGGAGAGGAGTATGGGAAGGAGTGATGAGGAGGCGGGATGAGGAGGCCTGGGACCTCCGCTCGCCCGCACCCGCACGCCTCGGTCCATCTGGCGCCCCCCGCACCCCTTAAAGGAGGGGCAGAAAACATGCCAGACACAATTCTCGTCGCCTCCCCCTCCTCCTCCTCCTCCATCCTCCTCCTCCTCCTGCCTCCTCCGCCTCCTCCTCCACCTCCTCCTCCTCCTCCTCCTCCTCCCCCCCCCTCCTCCTCCTCCTCCTCCTCCTCCTCCTCCTCCTCCTCCTCCTCCTCTCCTCACGATGAGTTAACCTCCTCCTCCTCCGCCTCCGCCTCCCCAGGAAAATATGGGGAAATATCGGCAGTGGGGGGGGAAGACAGAAACCCAGAAAATATGGGAAAGCATGGGGGATATTTTTTTTTATGTGTGTGTATTTACTTGTGTGTCCCAGGGCCCCTTCCACCCCCTCTTCTGGGCCCCCACCCCGCTCTGTTGCGCTGCATCTTCGGGGGGCCTCGCCTGTCCCCCAGATCGGTGTCTTTTCCTGTGGCCGACGCGGGCTCGAGGCGGCCTCGGCGCGGATCTGGCGCGCACTCGGCGCGGGTTCGACGCGGGGTCGGCACGGATGCGACGGGACAGACGAGGTCCCCCTGAGGACGCAGCAAAATTTCTGGCGCACCCGAGAGGAGAGCCGGGCCCTCAAGCCCGTCTTCCGCCCGCTGGCGAGGCGGCACACGTCGGTGACGTACGCGTACGTAGACGTGGAGGCTCGGCGGCGAGCGAGGGGGGGGGCAGGGAGAGCAGGAGCAGGCCTTCTCGGAGTGCGGCGGGACTTCTCAGAAGCCCTCGCGCCTGCTGAGAGATTCTCTGTGTCTTTGGGGAAGGATTGGAATCTGGACGCCCGAGATGGGTACGGAAAGAATGGGCACGATGCCCAGCAGCAGTTCCTGTTCATCTTGAACAGGATTCGCTGTCCACGCCGCCGCGGCCTGTGTCCATTCGAGACAGAAGGCCGCCTGCCCAACAGCGGCCGCTGTTGGTTTGGGACAACATTTGTTGTTGGGCATTGTACCCATTCTTTCCGTACCCATTTCGGGCGTCCAAATAGAAAATTTCTCAGAAGTCGGAGGCTGATAGACCTCCTACCCTGACACGTCGATTAGCGAATTGGCCGTTTCCTGTTCGCGAGAGGGCGCCGTGGCCGTCATTTTTGCGGGTCCAGGTCCGTCGGTTTCGGTCCCAGGCCGTTTTCATCAAAGGGAGGCTTACTAAAGCGAGGTTCGTCCACCGCCGAAGAAGGCTGGAGGACTTCCGAGCCTTCCGAGGAGGCCTTCTCCTTCTCGCTCTCCCCCCCCCGCTCGCCGCTGAGAGGCGGAGGACGAGCTGGCGCGCCGGTTCGGGGTGGACTCCGCGCCGTCGGTGCTGGGCATCGTTCCACCGATCCCCATCCGAACTGGCATGGCCTTCTAGGGCACCTCCAGGGGCGCGAGGAAGCGAAGATAGCGCATCGCGGGGCACGACGCGCGAAGTCAGGCGACCTAGGCTTTGGCCCCACCACTGGCCGACTCATCCCACCAGGAGGGGGCATGTGACCCAGGGCTCCGCCCCGCCCCCCCTCATGCTGATGCCTTCGGGCACCCCCCCGCGCGAGTCGGTTCCCTCCTTTTCCCCTGTGGGCGGTGGTACTGCGGTGCTGTCGTCGTCGTCGTCGTCGTCGTCGTCGTCGTCGTCGCCGTCGCCGTCGCCGTCGCCGTCGTCCGTCGTCCGTCGTCCGTCGTCCGTCGTCCGTCGTCCGTCGTCCGTCGTCGTCGTTGTGTTCCGTCGTCGTCGTCGTCTTCCGTCGTCGTCGCCGTCGTCGTCGTTGTCGTCGTCATCGTCTTCCGCCGTCTTCCGTCGTTGTCGTCCGTCGTCGTCGTCGTAGTCTGCCGTCGGCGCCGTCGCCGTCGTCGTCTTCCGCCGTCGCCGCCGCCGTCGCCGTCGTACTGCCAACCCATCAGGGGGGAGCCCTGTGGAACCCTGGGGCCCATCCCATCGGGGGGGGACCCATGAATCCTCGACCCAGAACTGTTTATTCCCCAAACAGCTTGCTGAACGGGGTGCTGTTGTGATAGAAGCTAATTCCGGCCGAGGGAAAGCTAAGCAGAGACATCCTCAAACAAATGTGGTGGTCCGGCCCGTTTCGCCTGAGACATCCTCACAACTCTCGTTTCTGAGTTGTCCGGGATTGAGCGTTTCGCCTGAGACATCCTCCTAAATCTGAGCTCTGAGAGGCCGCGCGAGAGGTGGTCCGGGCCGTTTCGCTTGAGACATCCTCGAAACTCTGAGCTCCCAGATGCCGCGCGAGAGGTGGTCCGGGCCGTTTCGCCTGAGACATCCTCGCAACTCTGAGCTCCAAGATGCCGCGCGCGAGGTGGTCCGGCTTGTTTCGCCTGAGATATCCTCGAAACTCTGACCTCCCCGATGCCGCGCGCGAGGTGGTCCAGCCCGTTTCGCCTGAGACATCCTCGAACTTCTGAGCTCTGAGATGCCCTGCGCGAGGTGGTCCGGCCCGTCTCGCCTGAGAAATCCTTGCAACTCTGAGATCTGAGATGCCGTGCGCAAGGTGGTCCGGTCTGTTTCGCACAAGATATTCTCGCAACTCTGAGCTCTCAGATGCTGCGCAAGAGGTGGTCCAGCCTGGGGGCCCAGAAGGCCACATGTTACATATCCTCCATGGGACCCTGCGAGCCTCAGGAGGCCCCAGAGAGGTCCAGGAGACCGCAGGACGCCCAGGACAGGCCCCAGGGGCCCCCAGGAGATTCCCAGGAGGCCCCAGGAGGCCCTCTATCAGAACGTGTCAAGTTGATACACATCCGGTGTCGATTCGTTGATTTTTCCTGCTCTTGTGCCCCCCCCCCCCCTCCATTTGGAGAGGCCCAAGCGGCCACAGGTTAGATATCCCCCCTGGGAGCCCCAAGATGCTTCAGGAAACCTCAGGTGGAGTTCAGGAGGCCACACGAGGCCCAGGAGGAAGCTCCAGGAGGTCCCCAGGAGGCCCAGGAGGCACCAGGAGGCCGCAGGACGCCCAGGACAGGCCCCAGGGGTATCCAGGAGATTCCCAGGAGGCTCCCAGGAGGCCCCAGGAGGCCGCTTATCAGAACGTGTCAAGTTAATACACATCCGGTGTCGATTCGTTGATTTTTCCTGCTCTTGTGCCCCCCCCCCTCCATTTGGAGAGGCCCAAACGGCCACAGGTTAGATATCCCCCCTGGGAGCCCCAAGAGGCCTCAGGAAACCCCAGGTGGAGTTCACGAGGCCACAGGAGGCCCAGGAGGAAGCTCCAGGAGGTCCCCAGGAGGCCCCAGGAGGCACCAGGAGGCCCCCGCAACTCGGAGCTCTGAGACGCCGCGCTCGAGGTGGTCCAGCCCGTTTCGCCTGAGACTTCCTCGCAGCACGTTTCGCCCGAGACATCGTCCCAACTCTGGGGTCCGAGATGCCGCGCGCGAGGTGGTCCAGCCCGTTACGCTGGAGACATCCTCGCAACTCTAGGCTCCGAAATGCCGTTCGCGATGAAGAGGAGGTGGAGGAGGAGGAGGAGGAGGAGGAGGAGGAGGAGATGGAAGGGAGAAGGAGGAGGCGGATGATGTGCATGAGGGAGCAAGCAGGAGGAGGGGGAGGTCCCAGAGAGCTTCAGGAGGCCGCAGGACGCCCAGGACAGGCCCCAGGGGTCCGCAGGAGATTCTCAGGAGGCTCCCAGGAGGCCCCAGGAGGCCCTCTATCAGAACGTGTCAAGTTAATACACATCCGGTGTCGATTCGTTGATTTTTCCTGCTCCT